TGTGTGTGTGTGTGTGTGTGTGTGTGTGTGTGTGTGTGTGTGTGTGTGTGTGTGTGTGTGAGTGCGTGCGTGCGTGCGCGCGCGCGTGTGTGTGTGTGTGCGCGCGTGTGTGTGTGTGGAGGTGATGTGTGGAGGAGGCGCTAAATGGAAGGATGAGCGTGTGTATATCTGTGTATGCATAGATAGTGGCGCATGTATATTTTAAAAATTCGTTAATTTTAGTCACTTAATATGAGAAAAACAAACAGACCTATAATAAAATTAAATACATAAAAAAATACAAAAAAATTTCTTATAAAGTAAAAATTTCGCTCAGAAATCACACTCTTATTAACATACTTTATTATTGTTCTAAATATAATAATGTCAATACTATCTCAAAAATAATCAGGTAATAATTTCTTATATTTTACTTTTCAGATATAGAAGCGTATTAAGTATGAGGGGCCAAAAACACGCATTTTTTCCTTAATTCAGTCTTCTCAGTATTCACAAATACATTACAAGTATATAGAGAAAAATATATTAATTTGTACAATCGAATCGCGAGATAAGAGTTAATCGAACACAATCATTTCACACACAATATTCAAAACGTATCACTCTTGCAAAAATTAAAATGATACTATAGTAAAATATATAAACTGCATAAATTTGATATATAGCAAAAACTCCACACACATATATGTACATACTTTATGCGCGTATTACATGTATTCATATTATATATACCGACCGAGACACTACCGTGTGTCCAGATTTTTAATGTTCTTTATTTGTTTTCTGTACTTATACATAATAAAATCATTTATTTAAGGCAGAATAAAGAATAATAATTTGAAAAATTATAAAGAATTAAATGTAGCTAAAGGAAAAAAAATTTATGCAGAAAAGAAGATGTAGAAGATTTAAGTTATACCTAGTTAGAAGACCGAAAAAAGACAAATATTCGTAATTTTTTTCAAAAAAGTATATTTATAACTAATACGAATACGAAATAATATTCCTATTATAATAGGTGACCTATTTTAACTTATCCACTAGAATATCTCGAAAACTAAATCCAGTAGACAAAAATGTTACAAATAAAAATGGAATGGTGTCGAGGGGGACACGTTTTAGTCACGTTGTTCTTTTCTAAGTGGAGGCGCTAAAAAGATATGAAGGTCACCTCCACTTTTTTAAATGGAATTATGTAATTTTTTTTTAGATAACGTGATTCCTCTAATTATTTTGCACTTAAAAGTATTAAGGTAGAGATACCAAAAAACCAATAGTTTTCGAGATATTTTACACTTTATTTTGATACATATTGACACAAAATGTTAAATAACTCGTAAACTTTTGACTTTTTGATTATCGTACCTTAATACTTTTGTGAACAGAATAATGAGATAAATCAAATGGTGTAAAGAAAACACATAGTTCCTTTAAAAAAAATATGTATACAAAATGGATAATTTTTTAAATACGCAACTATATGTTTTCTTTAAAAAGTCGGCCATTGTCCATCTATTAAAAAAAAGTACGTATTGGAAAAACATCCTTTGAGTAAAGACTACATCTACATGTTTATCAAAGGTATGTAAAATTTTAGATTGATTGGTGCAGTAGTTTTTGAGATATCGTCATCATCGATTTTAATAATATGAAAAAAACGCGTCTAAAATTTGAAGTGCTGTTTATCCTAGATTAAAAAATTATTTTTTAACTTACACGGAGAGTCATCTATTCCAGGGCCATACTTTAGTAACATAGAATAGATGACCTGACAATCAGGTAAAAAGAAATGATATTTGTCGGTCTGCAATTGCTGCACTAGACTACTATGACGAACATATACTCAATAAAAAACGTATATCTCCATGAAAATATAGCGAATTAACTTAAGGTCTTGCTTGACCGTCATTCGGCTTTTATTCAATTATTGTTTGAATTAACTTAAAATTTTGTGTATAATAGAATACTTCTAACATTATACTTTAAGAAAATGTGATTTTCGAAACTTTTTTCGAAATTTTTAACTAGGTATAACTCCTTTTAAATTATTTAACCATTTATCATTTTTGTAATTTTTATACTTTAATCTTTATTAAAAATTTTATTTAATTTTTGTAATTATTTTTTAATCTTTATATACATTTAAGAACTCTATATATCAATAAAGTTCAGTAAATGTTATAAAAAAATAAACATCACGTAGTTAATATACATCTCAACAAAATTATCTTTTTAAAGAAAAGGAGAAAAGACGATAAGTGTTTCCTCTCACACAAAAGACTGTTACATATATTATTACAATATACAAAATCTTTAAATTTTACGCTAATTATGAAAGGAATATATTTTCCTGCAACATATAACGTATACTTTATTTAAAAAAGTAAAAGTACAAAAAACTTAGCGCTGCTAGAAATATAAGTGAATGTAAGTTACATAAAAGAAATGAATAATGTTTATTTTTAAATTAACATAACTCACTCATGTATCCTTGATTTTTTGTATATGTATTTATACTTATCCTATACTAAATCTCACACTGTGTGTTTACATGACACAAGACACTACTAATAGTCTGTATCTTAATAATGCATTTTTTTTCTTAAATCTTTACATTATTTCGATATTATTTAATAACCATCTTATTATTGTATATTTTGAGGTCTAGTAGCACCAAGATTTTTGTACTTTTCTTTTTTTAAATAAAGTATATGTTATACATATGTTGCAAGAAAATATATTCCTTTTACAATTGGCGCAATTAAAAAATTTTGTATACTGTAATAATATACAGGGTGAGGCATTTAAAACAGTTTTCACTTGAATAACTCTCTTGTTTTTAACAGTAGAAGAAAGTGTTAAACAAAAGTTGCTTGGTTTCGAGAGGCACATAATGTCAATAATTGTTTTGTAGGCGTAAAGGATAGGCAAAGGTTAAATCTGTTTTTCTAAATGGAATATGTTTTTTTATTTACATTTTGATAGAGCATTTAAAAACGAATACAGTGACCTATAATTGCATGTCATTCAAGGTTACGCAAGGTCAATAACTCTTGATGAAGTGAGATACGGAAGGGATGAAAGGACCCCGCACATTTCTTATGGAAAAATGTCCCCGATCAAATTGCTCTGTTTTGAGACATATACTTCTTGTGGTTCTGAATAAATGTCTCCATTACCACATTCACATAAAATCAACAGACAAAAAGATATAGCGTTTTGAAGTCACAGAATTTGAGTGTCGCCCATCCAGTGCCGCCATACCTCCTTAAGATAACTTGCTGTTTTCTTTTAGACTGGGTTTACAACTTCGCTTTAAGAAATCTTAAGCCATAAAGCGATAAGAAATTGACCAATTATGATTGGTCAACTATGGTTGAATGCGAGAAAAATAATCTACTGTGATTGGTCAATTTCTTACGGATTTACGGCGTAGGGCCTCTTTAAGCGAGATTATGGACTCAACCTTATGTGTAATAGCCAATAGGTATACATACGCATGCATTCTTGAATGTAATTTTCGCGCAAATACACATTTATCAATTACCTTATTCTCTTAATCTCTTTGTTTTTGTTTTTGTCTCATATATGACTGGGTACTCGCATGACAAAGTAGGCATCCTGACGTTCGCACGTGATTGCGTGTCGCACGCGAACAACCGCTGCGCGCTTTGTTTACATTCAGTAAATCGCGTATTTTCTTGTAAGTAAATCGCAACTCACAGTATAAAATAAGCGATCACCGCGGATGATCTGGTAACTAATAAAATATAGATTTTGAGTGAATTATACTTTATCTTAAAAACGGTTCATCTATATATAATTATTATATATTAATACATAATTAAGAATAAACTATCGTAATAGAATTCCGTGTTATATATGTGAACAAACTTGTGTCATGCGTGAGAGGCGAGGGAACTCACGTTAAACAAACGTTGTATATGTATATTACATATAAAAGAAAGCATCAAGTTATCTTAAGGAGGTATGGCGGCACTCAAATTCTGTAACTTCAAAGCGCTATATCTTTTTATCTGTTGATTTTATGTGAATGTGGCAATGGAGACATTTGTTCAGAATCACAAGTACAACATATCTCAAAACGGAGCAATTTGACCGGGGACATTTTTCTATAAGAAACGTGCGGGGTCCTTTGTTGATTGGAATGAAGTATTCCCAGAACACTTCGTTGACTAATACCGCTTTCACATTCAAGCTGTCTTGTACTGATATGTGGATTTAGGGCCTTGGCACACAAAAAACTTAAGGCAGTACGACGTAAGCAGTAAGGAAATCAACGTTGTAGATTTGAGACTGCTTAAGTTATGGCCTTACGGTCTCTATTGTGATTGGTCAATTCGCTTACTGCTAAGTCTTACTGCCTTAAGTTTTTTTGAGTGCCAGAGCCCTTACTGCTACAAGGGCTAAAATGTTTGTTGAATTTCCGTCATCAGTTGCTTTCTTGGTTCGTTTGCGTTTTTTATTATCCACACTTCCTATTTTTTGAAAAGTTTTTACTATGTTTGAAAAAACAGAGTGAGGGATGGACACGATCGAAATTTTTCAACATACAAACGTGTACTGCTTCTTTCATAATTTGGCGAGCATTCACCATAGATGAAAATTATATCGACTTTTTCCACTTTTGTATAACGTATTTCGCAAGACACGCACTTCGATCGATAAATTCAAATTGATCAGTAAGTATATGGATAATACTATGTACGATTCAATGTTTATTTACATATCGTGATACACTTGAACGATTAGCGATATATCAACAAGCACAGAAGACACGAAATTATTCGAAGAGTGCCTTGAAACAATTTATTTTTTATTACATTCATTATTTTGCATTATTGATCTTGCGTAACCTTGAATGACCTTCAATTATAGGTCACTGTATTCGTCTTAAAATACTCTATCTCTCAGAATGTAAATTAAAAAAATATTCCATTTAAAAAAACAGATTTGACTTTTGTCTATCCTTTACGTCTCCACTTACAAAACAATTATTGACATCACATTATGTGCCCCTCGAAGTCAAGTAACTTTTGTTTGACACTTTTCCTTCTATTATTAAAAACAAGCGAGTCATTCAGGTGATCTGTTTTAAATGCCTCACCCTGTATGTAACAGTTTTTGTGAGGGAAATACGTACACTTGGCGCCTTTTTTCCCCTTTTGTTTTTAAAAGGTAATTTTGTTGAGATATCACGCATTTTATAATGTTAAATATCTCTTGTAACTCTGTATCATATATATACACATGTACATATTATATGTATACATATATGTTATTCTTATAATAGTCTTTTTAAAGACGTATTTTGAGGTAATTTTATTATGAGAATTTTAATATAAAAATGTTGAGACTATAATAATTTTTAAATTAATCGCAATTAAATTTCGCTAATCACAGAGCTGACATTTCGCGCGCTCGGACATAACGATATGACAAGTGAAGAATGTACCACGAGAGCCCCCTTAACATGCAATATTTTTCAGAAAGTTGTTTAAAAAGAAAAAATATTTGTACATTTTTAATTGTATACACATGTGCATAATTAATATCGCAATAGTATATCGTAAAATATCAATTCAATAGCAAGATATTATGAATGTTTCAAAATAAATTCGTAACTATGTTTATTTGTCTCGTATGATAAACATTTGTATTTACATCGATATAAAATAAGATATGCTAGCGAATGCCATCTGACCTTTAAAACGTGAATCGGATAACATTTCCGAGGGCGATAATGATGATGACGTATCTGAATGTAAAAATTTGACAGTTCGGACATCGCAATATCTTCATTCGTAAGGTATGTAGAAAGGCAAAAGAACAGTTTATTATATAATTTAAAGTTTTAAGTAAATTGAGAATACTGAATTAATCGATTAATTCAGTTGTTTATTGTTAGATCCGATAATCTCGAGTGCTCGGAACTTATCGATTCGCGTAAAGAACACGGTATGATCTCGCTTCACGTTTACTTGGCGCAAGACACTACCGTGTCTCTTGATCTTTATTGTCTTTTGAAGTAATTCCCCTAAAAACAATACACTTTTAACAACGTTTATGTAGCGGAAATTCTGTGAAAATTAATATTTGGATATTGCCTTACATCTTGTTGTCACACGATTCTGAATATTCGAAATGTGAGAGTCCTTTTTATCGCCTCCAATTTACGGAGTAAAAAGAATCTGATGGAGCAAAATCAGGGGAGTAGGAAAAGTGATTCGAACTATGCAATGCTGACTCAAGAATTACTCCTACATATTTTGAATCAGTACTCCAGGTAGAACGCAATCATAATTAAAACACAATGATATCATAGGATATCACCATAACGTCATTTAATATATAAAAATGAACTTAGAAATAACTTTATAGTTATTAAGATCAAGTTGATGCTCTTATGATATTATGACTTTTATGTAACAACACAACTTAAGGTGATAATCCTATGATGATTTTTCAGTTTTCACAAGTTGTATAAACATTGTCTGAAATGTATTGTATCTAGGAGTTATTACTTTGAAAGATAATAAAGGTCATTTGTATATTAATTAAGGTGTGTTTATTTTCTTATAATATTCATCAAACTTTATTACCGTATCGTGTGTGCGTGTATACATACGCGCACACGCACGCGCGCATACGCACACACACACACGCGCGCGCATGCACGCAAAACGACATATATACAATATACGAGTACATATATGTATATAAAATATACGCAGAGAAAATTATCTGTTAATTTATCAACATCAGTCTCTTCATAGTACACAAAAAGAGAGATAATTTTTACTTTTTTTAAACTTGAATGGAACATTGAAATGTTTATTATCAAATTTATGCAATTAACTGTGTGCTCAACTTGTATATGCATTATCAAAATGACTTGCAGAATTGTTTCAGTACACCGGCATTTCACGCTAACAAGATAATTCAATTCATATACCATGTCGCTTTTATATAATTCATTAGCCATAGTTTCGGAGCTTTTGTATTTATAAGCAAACTAATGGCATGTCGATAGATTATCTGCATAACGTAGTGTACATGAATGAAAGTACTATTGAGGCGAAAATACCTGTTGTAGGAATCATAATAGTCTTTCCTGTCCGTAGGTGAAGGTCCCAATGACATAAGCGGTGGTGGTGGTGGATGACCTCCAGTGACTAGATGTGGCATCAACGGCGGTATATGTTGGGACGGCTGATTTCTTCCTATAGGATATCTCGGTAGCGGTCTCTCCCTAGGCGGTAAATCACGTTCACGATCACGAAATGGATAATCATGAGCCGGTGAATCGCCATAGTAAGTGTTATATCCATCTCGAGGTTCTCGTGATCGAGGCCTATCTCTCTCACGATCCCTCTCTCTTTGAAATCTGGAAAATTAAGCCGTTCATGATACATTAATGGGCTTTCTACAATAACCAGAATTTTAAGTCTTAAGCGATAAGAAATTGGTTAATCACAGTCAAATGTATGAGAAGAATAATAATTTATAATTGGTCAATTTCTTATGGCTCTAAGATTTAAAAGCTAAGGTTATGGCTTATTATATGATAGAAGGTCTATAATATAACGCGAATATTATGCGAGGCATACCTCGGAGGTGATCTGACTGGTGATCGATATCTCGGCAGTAAGTCGCGATCTCGATCCCGCTCGCGGTCTCTGTCGCGGTCACGATCACGGTCTCTCTCTCTATCTCTCTCCCGATCTCTTTCCCTATCTCTATCTCTCGACGGAGATAGTCTCGGCGACTGACTGCGAGAATACGATCTAGATCTGTAACAACAGTGAAACTTGAAGAATAGAATAGAATAACAATACTAATAATACCATAGAATTATATAAGGAAAGGAAGAGTAGGTGGGATAGGGATGAAGAAGAGGACAATGAGATGTATAAGGTTGAAAAAGTATGGAAGGCATTGAAGGAGGTAGTATATGATGCAATGGTGAAGAAGAGGATAAAGAAAAAAGGAACTAGAATACAGGGATTGGTGGAACAGGAGCTATACGAGGAAGAAAAGAGAAACGAAGAGGATCTATAGGAGATAGAAAGAAGGAAAAGTAGAAAAGGATAAATATATAGGAGCAGCAAAGGGAGAAATTACTGAAAAAGAAACAGATAGAAAAAAGAGAGGAGGAGAAATTAGAGCTAAAGAATATAAGAGGAGAAACGGAAGTGTGTGGAGATTTATAAATAGAAAAAGAGGAAGGAAGGAGTGGATAGAGAACAACATTGATAAAGAAGAATGGTGTAATTATTTTATGAATCTGCTGGAGAGTACAAAAGAAGAAGTGAAGAAATAAGGATGTATAATGGAGAGGAGCAGAATAATGATGTAATTCAAGAGGAAGAAATTGGAAAAGCGTTAAGTAGATTCAAGACAGAAAAGGCGGTAGGAATTGATGGGTTCCCGACAGAGACATGGAGGTATGCAGGTGAAGGAGAATGGAACAAACTGGTGGAATTAATAAAAATGAAAAGAAGGGGTAATGCCAATGGACTGGAAGAGCATTATTATGCCACTTTACAAGGGAGGTAACCAGAAGACAGAAAATTACAGAGGAATATATCTCTTATGCTTGGCTTACAAAATATATGCCGAGATTTTGAGAGGGAGGTTAGAAAAGGTGGCTGAAGAGAAAGGATGGATTCCGGATAGTCAGGCAGATTTCAGAAAGGGAAGAGCAACGATAAACAACATTTTTGTTCTTCAACATTTGTTATAAAGAAGAAGAAAGAAGGCAAAAAGGAAAAGGTCTATATACTTTTTGCGGATCTAAAGGCAGCTTTTGACAAAGTAGACAGAGAGAAATTATGGGAAATATTGAGAAGGAAAAGAACAGAGGAGCAATTGATAAGGAGAATAGAAAGTGTATATGAAGAGACGAAGGCAGTGGTGAGATCAAGAGATGACCAAAATCATCTTTTTATCTATAGTAAGTTTTTTTAGTGAGACTACCAGCAGCCTTAAGGCGATCGTAAACTTGTCTCTGAGATATTAGACCTAAGTAATTGATTTTCAACAATATATTTCTTGTTTATTAAAAATCCTCTTTTCACAAATGCTTGACCATGACTCAGAATAAGGATCTTTTTTTACAAAAATATAGAAATCTTGGAAATTATCCTGACCCTGAAGCAAGTTTCTCAAGAAATGATCAATTCTTTGATTTTATTGACTGTGGCGCCGTGATATAAATGAAACAGACACCGAGCTAAACAGATGTTTTAAATTTCTTTTACAACTACTTTATTTTTCCAGAAAAGTTTGCTAAATCACTGACTTTTCCTGACTTGTGGCAACCCTAATCACTGAACATATTACAAATTTCAACCATTAAGTTGACTAGGATAATGTCAAAATTTTAAATTTCGAATTAAAATATTACAAGAGATTAATTTCTAAAGTTTCACATATCAAAGAACAAACGAATGATATTAATTGGAAAAAAAATACGAAACTATTGGATGAGTTATACTCCGATAAAATTTTCCTATAACGATTCTGCCAACTTCATATCTATATATGTATATGGCAATACATGTTAAAGCTACAAAAGTACCTGCTGATAGAGAAGCTGCCACTTCTTGATCTACGTTTTGGAGTGCGACTACGAGGTCGGAGTGGTAATGGTGATCTTGATGATCTTCGCTTCGACGGCGGACTGCGAGACCGACTGATGCGAGACGCAAAAGGCGATCTACGGCCAAAGGAGCGCGATCTAGATCGACTGTAACTACGTGATCGGGATCGTGTTCTGCTTCTTCTTCTATGTTTCCCTAAACGTCGATCTCTCTCATCCTTCTCTCGCAGCATTCGCTCGAATGCTTCCAACGGATCATCAATGATTCTGAAGAATGAAATGTATACTGATGTAACATATTCATTAATCTTTATTAATCAAGAAAAATTACTGAAGAATTAACTTACCCAGGTGGATTTCTATTGTGTATATTTCTACCTAGTCCAGGTGGTGGTGGTTGCAAATTTCGATATCCCACTGAAACAAGAAGTATAAGCAAAATACTGAAGATGAAAAACAAAAAATGAAATAACCCAAAAATCAAAATATATAACGATTCATATGAGATGCTTTGAAGAGTACAAATAAATATCAAATTAACGTATTTACTTGCACCTAAAGTATTTTGTATATATAACAAAAATTTTACACGAAATGTTGTGAAAATGCTTTCAGGAAGTAAACATTTTTGTATTTAAAGCACATATATCTCTTTTTATCTACATATTTGTATCGAATTGAATACATGTTGCTTACTATGATGCAATCCTCTCATTGGTCCTCTTGGTGGCCCGCTGTAGTTTCGAGGTGGCTGAGACGGTCGGTATCCTTGTTGCTGATAAGGAGGTCTATCATATCTCGGCGGTCCGTAATGTGATCCCGGTTGATGCGGATATATCGGTATTCGATGACTCATATATGGATCCGGCAAAAGCGGAGGATTATGGGGAGGTACATTTGGGGGCGGTTGATTATAATTTGGTGGTGGAATGCGCTCTTCGCCTGGTGGAAAAGGCAGTAATGGTGGTTGATTGCTGGATGAAGAAACGTGCAAGTGAGGTTCGTCGACCTGAAATATTGCAAAAATATACAACAACGAATTAATAGAAATGTTTAAGTATAAGAAAGTTCTCTTAACGTAAAGAGAATGTTCTGCTCTCTCACCGTTGGAGTGCCAGCACGGTCTTCGTTAGACCTACGTATTCCACTATCATAATGCATAGCAGGTGGATAATGTCCATCGTCTGCTAAATGACCCTGATAGCTCTTAGAAGGAGGTGGGTTCATTAAGTGAGGTAACACTGCATTTGACGATGGATATTCACCGTGTTGGGAGTGTCTGGGCGACAGGGATCGATTTCGATTGTGATTCAATGGCCGTAAATTTTCAATTCTACGACCACGCTCTCCGCTTCTACATTGTTGTGAAATACAAAATGTAACTTGACTCTCTCTTTACATTATATTTTATATTGCAATAGAGACTTGATAAGATAAGGATTTGTTTTTCCTACCTGTCGCGATGTCCATCCCTGCTGAAACTTCGTCGACGCTCTCTCGATTGACGTTCTCCCGAGTATTCATTGTCTCGTTCTTTCTTATCGCGGCTGGAAGGATCGCTTCGCTCACGTTCTCTCTCTGGCGAGCTCACAAGGGCAGGAATTGGAAGTAGAGGTTCTGTTCCCGGAGGAGGAGGTACCTCAGTTTCCTCGTCAGTTGTTAGTTTTGTTACTGAATCGCTTTGCAAGTGTGACTCTGAAGTAGATTCAGGTAGAGCTGTCAGAAGCACATCAAGTATAATTAGGTGATTCCAATTGGCGATTATAGCTTATTAAAAAGCGGATTAGCGATATATCTTTAGCATTCATCGAATTGCCGTAGACAGGATTCTTTTACACTCTCTCCCTTTCATAGTGCATTGGAGGTTATGTGCTTAATATTGTCAGCTGGTCGACATAAATTCGAATATATTCGTCAACGATATATTATTGTAGTGAAATGGGCACGTCATCTAGCACGTGTCATTGTTATAAAGCTATTTTTTACCTACGTGCTATCTGAATAAAAAAAAAGTCGGGAAACTATACATTGACTATTACATACTCCAATATAATGGCGCCTATCTGTTTACATACGAGAAATCAGAAAACATACGGAGGGAGTATTTATGTTGCAACAAACGCACGCACGCAATGTATGATATATATGTAAAAATATATATGTAAAAAAAACAAGAATTGTCACATCATAAAATAATATTTCATATACATGCAGTGAAACAAGAGAGAGAGAGAGAGGGGG